TGTAATTCTTTTTCTTTTTCTCCAGCCTTTCGAATTCTAAAAGTTCTTCCTCCTCTTTTCTTTTTCTTTCATCGTAAAACGCTTCTTTATTATTATCAAAAATCACTCTTTTTATTTCATTAGATTCTCTAATGTCTGTTAAAACCTCATCTGCTACAAGGACTTTCCCTTCTTGTTGTACTTTTATAGACTTTCTTTCTATCTTCTTATATTCTACACTATATTCCACAGCAGTTTCTGGAATTATTGTAATTTTTTCAATCTGAGCCATATGCAACCCTTTAGTATTAGCTGACGTGTTTGTAATTTGTTGATCTTTGTTTGCATATTCTTTTTTCTAATCATGTACCGGAAACTCTTCATTTTCATGAGAATCAAATTTACTTTTGACTCCTGGGAGAGGGGTTGGTTTTTGTTGCCAATTAATTGAATCATTTACACTATCTGATGAATTGACTTCCTCCTCTGGCTGTGATTCATTTTCTTCACCTGATTCTTCGTAAATAGTGGGCAGTGTATTATTATATATGTCATAATAATAATTTCCAACAACACTACTCGTATAACACACTATTTCTGTTTCTTCCTCTTCTGTTTCGTACTCCTCTGTTTCTTCATCTTCTGTTTCTTCAATTATCATACAATAGCATTTATCCCATCCATAAGCTCCTTGAAATTCTTCCCCTTTTATTTGTAAGGGTTGTAACATGTTCGGTTTCGTTAAGAGACAATCTTTTGGTTCAAAGTCAATACCTTTATCTATTTGTAAATCAGCGATTGGTTTGATTAAATCGTCATTTTCTGGTTGTTCTTTTTTCTTTACGCTTTCTAAATTTTTCATTTGTTGTACAGATTTTTCATCGAAAATATTAATCTCTTCTTGTTTCCTATTTCTTTGTAAATTTGGATTTAAATCAAACTTTCTATCATTTTCTTCTGAATGAGGTTTGCTTTTAGAATCAGGTACAAAATCAGATTCAGTTTTTTCCTCGTTTAAATTTGTATCTAAATCTGATATCTTATTTTATTTTGTCATTTTATCATTTATTAAATTAAACGAACATTCTTCAGAATTTAATTTAGTTTTAATACATTCTGCTTGTTTATCGTTATCTTCTAGGAAAGGCTTCTTCTGTTTGACCAGGTTCAGAACACGTTGCATTCTCTGTAGGCTTAGGGGCTCTAGTTGCTTCTTTTCTATATATAGTACTTGGTTGTTTTGTTATAACATCTTCTCCTCTGTTTGCAAAAATTCTAAGTTGTTCGCATGTCATCTCAGACTTAAAATCTTCAAAATTTTTATAATTAAACGGGAACAATTTTCTCATAATTTTGCAAAAACAAGCTTTTTGAATCAATTCACTGCAAAGTTTTGGTGGCAATAGATCATCAAAATATGGAAATTGCACATGTATATATATAATGGACACTGTTTAGCTTCATGTAACTGTTCATTACAAGCCAAACAAAATATTTCTTCTTGATTTTTCATATCGTCTTTAAATAAATATTCATAATCCAAATCATCATCGCAGCTGTCTAAAATAAGTATCTTATCCAAACACTCTACTATTTCTTTGATCTCATTAGCTAATTTTTCATCATCATCTCTTTTGATAAGTTCGTTACACTGAATTAAAACTGTTTGAATTACATTTTTACATAAATTTCCTCTATCTTCAAGAACTAGAAAATGTTTATCGACCTCATCACTTAATAAATTCATTCTCGGGTCTCAAAAAAGCACTTCTCTCCAATTTTAACCTATCCCATTTTAAATCATATTTAGCTACCATCGTATTTACATCTTCGCTTATTGAAGCACATTTCTTTTGTGAAGGGCTAAACCAAGTGCTGACAACTGCTAGTAACCATCTAAACATAGGGTTAATTTTTTTTAACTATTCTTAAAACGTATTGACATTGTTTTTTTTATTAATAGTCGTTAGCGAAAAGATAGTTTGTTTACTTCTTCAGTTATTAAATTCATTCTTGTATCTTTAGAGCTATAAACACAATGACCCAAGAAAAAAGCGCTTCGTTCTAATTTTACTCTACAAGTTTTTGAATCATATTCTGCAATCATTGTATCTATTTCTCTACTTATCAATCTTCAACATTTTTCTCTGGGTTTAAAAAAAGTATCATAGGCAAATGCTAATAAACTTAACATGGGATATAAATAATATTTTTATATCTATATTGCTATAAAAAAATAATTACTAAAGGTATTCTTTTAATAATATTTTTTATAAGAATTGATTCTAATTTTTAAAATAAGCTTTTATTTTTAAAATTGTTCTATTTTTATAGAATCGCCTAAAAATAAATTAGTTTTTAAAATTACATTCTTAGAAGAAAAAATAAAAAAAATTATAAAATATTACTTCAAAAACTCAACTTCCTTTAATCATCAGTATATTAAATAACCTTTTATATATATAAAAGAACAATAAAGTAGAAATGACATAATTTATTAAACCTCCTTCTTTTTTAAAATATAATCAAAAAATTTTATTAATTGTATACTTTTCTAAATACTGATGTTCTTATACAAAGAAACTTCATAACTTTTAATCTTAAATCTTACATTTTAGCACTTAAAACAACTTATCTAATCCTAACAATAGTAATGTTTTAACATAATTTATAATTTTTACAAAATTAGTTGAAATAGAAACAAGCATAACTAATTTTGATTTATCTTATATATAAAAATGGATCGCAAAATGTGTTGGTAAGCGCATAACTCAACAGCGCCTGGACCAATTTGGCCAATTCTGTTTTTAAAATGTTTGTTGATGTCCAAGGATGGTTCTTACGGCGAGAAAAATTCGAATAATTGTCGGGAAAACCCTAAAAACAGCCCTTTTCTAACTAATACGAATAATCGTAGTCGGCTTCTCGACATTATTTCTTTTGTTTCACTTTCGGCAGACGAAAAATTGGTATGGCGTTAAAGAATTTGACTTCAAGTCATATAAGATTAAAAAAATCAATGTCAATGTCCATTTGCCGCCCTTGCCGGTGGTATTTTCTTGCATAATCCAATCCATATTGGATTTAAAATAAATTTTTGAAAGAAATTCATGTTTTTTATTGATGTTATGCCCGATTATTAGACTTTGTTAATACATATGTCAACATCAAATTCAGAATCATACAAAATATATATATATATATATATTAAATTTTTTTATTATAATTTTGATGTTGAAATATGTGATATTCAGTTTTCAGGGCAATACATCAATTAAAAAATTGTATGACTTTAAAACATTTTTATTTTTTCCATACGTTTCGACACATTGTTTTGTGTCATCTTCAGTGGACTCTAGATTGAAAGAACAGATAGAAATTATTAAATAAAACTAAAATATAAGAAGTGATTTGGTATGAACTTACATGTAATTGAATTAATCCTAATTATTTCATATTATAAATGTTCACAATGCACAATCCTAATTATTTCATATTATAAATGTTCACAATGCAACAAAAAACCAATCCTTGTCATTTTAAATTGAACAATATATAAATTTTTGAATGAGATTTTTTATGAATTTGTAAAGTACATCACGCCGTACATTTCTGTGCTCCGATGTACGGGGTGACTACTGACTGAATGTACGTCAATGTGCGAACCACGTGTTGAGGGTTAGGTACAAAGCAAACGAACTGACCAAAGAATTTAAGATTTGACAACGCGAGAGGGTACATATAGTGAAATATAAAAACATGACAAATGTGAGGGTGGACATAATTTGTAAAATTGAGATAAAAATTAAAAGAAAAAAAAAAGAAAAAGAAAAATTGGCATTAAAATTAATATAATTAAAAGTCGATCATGATAGGTAACTATTTTAAAGGTATTAATTTCGAGACATTGTTTAAGACTACTTGGTAATTCTCGCACAGTGAGGAAGTGTCCAATCTTTTGTTTAAACTATTTTTGTAAAGGTGTATCAGACAAGATTCTGAAAAGCGTCTCTGAGATGTATTCGATTCGTGATATAAAATTGTGGCCACATCAAAATTGAAAATATGATTGAAACTTTGTATGTGGTCAGTTATCATTGTTTGATTTCGATTTTTATTTTTGGAATTATTAATTCAATTACATGTAAGTTCATACCATATCACTTCTTATATTTTAGTTTTATTTAATAATTTCTATCTGTTCTTTCAATCTAGAGTCCACTGAAGATGACACAAAACAATGTGTCGAAACGTATGGAAAAAATAAAAATGTTTTAAAGTCATACAATTTTTTAATTGATGTATTGCCCTGAAAACTGAATATCACATATCTCAACATCAAAATTATAATAAAAAAATTTAATATATATATATATATATATATATATAAATATTTATTTATTTATTATATATATGATAAAATTGTTCTTGGGCATCCATCCAGTAATTACAAAGAGTTTTATTGAAAAAAAATGTTTTTATTAAGAAAACATCCGTTTCGGATCCTGATTTGACCCATCTTCAGTGCATACAAATAAATTGAAAAAAAAAACACAAAACCACACGAAAATTGCACGAAAAAATTATGAAACACAAATTGATAAACGTCGAGTTATGATAAATTTTAAATAATTGTAAAATAAAAATAAATAATATAAATTGTTATAAAAAAAGCTTAATCAAAACGAAGCATGTTTTCAGCTTGGAGTTTATGTATATATAAATATATATTTAGGTATATTTAGTAACAAATTCCAAATGTGAGTATTCTAAACGATTTGGTATATAGTAATCATATATGGATTTATCGCACGGTACCTACCTTTTGTCCTTTTGTCGAGATTCTAATTATTTAAATAAATCAATTATTACCTTAATGACTAAAAAACACTGGTAAATGATTTTCAAATTTCATTATAATTTACCATTTTAGCATTTACAAATAAGAATCATTGGACACCAAAAAATGTTTTGGCGAGGATAATAACACTGATTTTCCGAATATGATGGACCATAAGAAAATGTCACTAAACAACAGCGCCATGAAATCGCTAGATAGCTCGCAGGAAATACCTAGTACTAAATCAAATAATGAAATCAGCCAAGTTGAACCAAAGATGTTTGGAAATACCATAAATAAAAAGAAGTGCGTTAGTAATGTTAAGTCAAATTGCTCCGCATTCAATACCAAAAAGAAACATTCATCCACTTCCAAAAAACCAAGTAAGTCTATTAATCAAAACAAAGAAAATCGAGTTCACAAAAATGCATGTCCTTCAAAGAAAGAACGATCGAGCAAAAAGCTGAAGGAACTTTTTGGAGACGACCGGGAAGCTGTAAAACGTGATAAAACTGGGATACAAGAAATAGATACAGAATTTAAAAATGACGGTTTCAAAAAAGTTAGATCGAGACATAAGCGAAAGTCGGAAGAATTTTTGAAATTTGGAAGCGTCAAAAAAAGTAAGAGTGATCCATCAGGGGAATCTATTATAAAAGCTCTAGCAGAGAATGAAAATATTATTTCAAACCAGGTAGTATTGCCTAAAAATATCTTTGTCAAAAATGTGCGTGAAATAGATATTTTTAAAGATATTGATATTTTAAAGACGAATAATGACCTTGTACCCAATAAGAAAAAGAAAAATCAACGTAAGCGGGTTAAAAATAAGGAAAGAAATTTTCAGCAGAATATTAATAATAACAATAAAATTGGTCAGCTCACAGCACAAGACGAAACTCAAATTTTACCTAATCAACATTCTGAAGAAGCGAAGTCCGATCATGGGATGGATAATGCTAATTATAATACTAATAAAGCCAGTAAGTTTGATACCGATGCCATTCAAATTTTAAATGTTTTCTCGGTCAGTCAAGGCGAGAATGTTGACACAAATAAAAAGACAAATTTAGAAACTTCAGAACCAGCCAATTTAACGCAGCCTATAGGCCTGAGTATGCCGATTTTAGACGAAACAATAGAGTGGCAAATTAGCCCATTACCAAAAATTGTGAATGCTTCTTCATTAAGTGAAGTTAATAGTATTACATCGAATGAAGAACAAGAAACGACTTCTAATTCAAAATTGGATATAAACAGGAATGAAGAAATTACTATTGACGCCCTGGAAGGAAAGACTTCCTCTAATTTATCTAGTGACAAGAATAGTAGAAGTGAACCAAAGAGACCAGTAACAATTAAAAGCTTGCAGGAAAATTGTCGACAGATCTTAAACTATGCCAAACAAATAATAAAAAAATTGTCTGATAAAGAAATTGTGGAGGAAAATAGTATTATGGATAAAGTCGCTTGCGATAATCTACCTGCAGATAACTTTAGTAAGGATTTACTTATTTCTACTAGTCAAACACAGAAATCTCACGGAGATGATCAAACTTCACTCATCAGCAGTGATATACAACAAACAATAAATGGAGACGTTCCAAAGATTATACCAAAGTTTAATATTACTATAGAGAGAAGTGATAATGAAACGGGTGAAAGTTCTGCTAATATAACAATATCATTTGCAGAAAGCCAAAATGAAAGAGATACAGGCGCCAGTACTCCTAAGAAGAATGATTTGGAAAATAAAGTGAAAAATATGCCAGTGTCAGCTAGTTCCATAACGAATTTATCGGATCAAGAAGCATCAATTTCTTCGAAGGTAAATTTAGATTTACAAGTTAAAAATCCCTATGTGATACCACCGCAAGCAGCTGCTGAAATATTACCAGAATTATTCCAAAATAGTCCGCAAATTAATCAGCAATTATCGCCTGTAAACAATAAAGTTAAAAATATGCCAGTATTACTTAATTCCAAACCCAATGTATCGCTTAAATCGACGATTCCTTCGAAGGTTGATTCAGAATTACAAGTTAAAAATACCAGCGTGATACCGACGCATAATGCTGCTAAAATATTACCAAAACCGTTTCAAAATAATTCGCAAAATATATTATCCTCTGTAGACAAAAGTACAGCTGAGCAATCTCTGACAATTGTTCCAATATGTCAGCGAACTCAACAGGAAAATGACAAGATAACAGAATCTTCCAAGCAATTTGAAATACAAGAAAAATCATCGGAGCCGTCAACTTTGCTATTGCCAGCAAGTCAAAATAATTTAGTTTCGCTTCTTTGCCCTCCGAATCCAATAACGATAACTCCATTAAATGACCAATACAAAATTATCAATTTACCAGTTTTTGTGAATCGAACGCAAATAATTCTACAGTCACCAACTGCTTTACAAAGTGAAACTTGTGAAAATTCATCTATCAACCCAGTTATTTTTCACAGCCTTCCTCTAATTCTTATGCTTTTGGATTAGTACAATCTGGAATTTCACAGGAGAAAATTGTGCTAACCAAACCTTCTGAGCGTTTAGTCAATATCGCTCCTGACAATGCCCAACATAAACTACCTGACATACAAGTTAACGAAATTAGGCATTCTTCAGATTCACAAACAAGGATTTTCTCATCAAACAATCAGTTCATAAGATCTTCTGATTCTGTAATAGTGTATTCGAAACCATCCATTAGTTTCCAAAATGGACAGAAACGTACTTTACCACAGACTTTCACCAAATGTGCGATAGTTGTGCCAGGGACAACGAGCAGAACACACGAAAAAGCTTTTTCTCCTGCCATTATTTCAGATTCGGAGAATGTTAATAATGGATCCACAGCAAGTGTGTGCATAACTCAATTTCAGCATTTAGATCAGAACCGACATAACTTTAATATGGTACGTTCTGAGTTTAATACTTCACCTCAAACTGCGACAAATATTTATGACAAGAATGCTAATAGCGGTAGCGGCAACATGCCATTTGAACTTCCTGGTGATTTACCATTGGCAGAGACATTGAATGGACCTGGAAAATCAATATCATCAAAGTTTGATGCAATGAATCGTGCGAATTCTTCAAAAGCAGCTTCAAATTTTTCATCGAATGTATCTCCAATGAATATAACTAATAGCTTATCATCTCCTGGACAATCGCATATTTCGAGTGCCATGTCTCGATCTGAAAACACATCGAATGAGACAAACGCGAGTTTTCCAAAAATTCGAGTTAGATCATTGGAAAGTATGAATTCACAAGAAGCCGCTGCCGATATAAACTTACCATCGTATAGAAATCGTCATCAAAACTCGATTAATGCCTCAATTGATGATGTCGATTTTCATATGTATAAAGATGCAATCTTTTTATGTTTTGCCGTTGACATTTCTAATGATATTTTTTGTGCAGTAAATAATTATAATAATAGACTATCGTTTATCAATGCTAATGGTATCGATAAATTTCGTTATAGAATTAGTTTATTGGATTACGATGTCTTAAGATTAACAAGAAGAAAACGTTTATTCAATGCTTTAAATTATTTGTCGAAAAAATACGCTTATTCGAATGTTACTATACTAAGAAACAAAACTGTTTTTAATAAAATATTAGACATAGCAAAAAAAATGTCTGAGGCGAGCGATATAATTAATCACATTGAATCCTTATGTCTAACTTTGTTCGTTGAATTATTAAACACGCTTACAAATTCAAAAAATAGTGAAAGTTGTGAACCAGATATTTCTACAATGCTGCTTTTACCGACTAATTCCTTCACTCCCTCGCAAGAATTTTTTGAAAATTCAAAAAAACAGAAAACCAAACCTAAAGGTAAACCTAAGAAACCTAGAAGGCCTAGTCTTCGGATAAATGATTCAGATAATACAACTGATTTGTCGCATCCGAACCAGCCTCTTTCCCAAAACAAATCATCTTCGGATATTCAATTGTTGAATCAAAATAATGCATCGAAAGAATTACCACATACATGGTCGAGGACAACAAGTACAGGAAATAAAGCATACTTTCAAATGATGTTTGAACAATCTCTGAATGGCAGACGAAATTTGCAACAAACTTCGGCCACAATCGAAAAAGCAGTTACTAATAATATTCTACCAGTTGACAACAGAAATAACTTTTTTCCAATGCCACGTATCAATTTCCAACAAACAGCCGAAAATGGTTCACTATTGAATCAATATATGGGGCAGAGTAATGTAACTAACGTTTGCTCAAACATAGCACCCGTAATATCGCAAAATCATTATTATAATAGACCATATGCCAATAATAGTTACCGCCCTGTCTCGTACTTGAATAATCCAATGCAATCTCAGCAGATACCATATTCTCGAGAACAAAGTAATTTGTTACAATGTAGTAATTTGGCTATGATACGGGCTCAAAATAATTGCAACAATATGAACAATTATAGACCATTTATGAACAGTTTCAATAATATGCACCAAGTTTCTTTTCAAAATTGTGCACCGACGACTAGTGCTACAGCAGGGGTATCCACCAATAATCAAAATAGTATGTGCAATAACCTTTATCAAAGAAATCAGAATCTGGGTTGTCGTTTCGGTCAAGGTGTTCCAAATTACAATAACGTGCAAATGATTTCAAATCCTTTCCAAAACTTGCCGAATATAAGTTCTATAATTGAAAATAGTTCTGTACAAGACCCTACGCAAATGCAGTTTCAACCAGCTTCGGCCATGAACGACAGAATTGGAAATCCATCATTAAATTCTCAAACTTGCGGAGCACAAAATGCCTTCACTGGACACATTGATTCAACACAAAATTTCTTAATAAATCGCCCTGCAGAAAATAGTGTTGTTGGAACTAATTCATCGTATGTAAACACTGCGAATGGGCCCATGATGCAAAATAATCAATCTGAGCAAGATGCACCAATGAATATTACAAATGATCATCCAGAAGTAGCAAAAACGATGGATAAACCATGCCAATCAGTTCATATGGTAGGTGAAAAGCTGTGTTCCAAAGAAGGGCAAACAACTGAAATAGTCAGTTCTATTTATTATTCACTCCTTTCCAACAAAAATAGTAGATGCACCATGTCAAGAAATCTCAAGAAGCAAGATCCTGCGCCTATGAATTCTCACCAGGATACTGAGGTAAGTCCATCAATTTTTTAATTATTTGGGAAAAATGTAATTGTTATTAATATTTGTTATTTTTTTGTAGAAAGCTTCATCTGATGGAGATGATATTATAGATGGGCCACGGATAATTTATTGTACTATGTGCGACATGATAGCTAAAATCCAATGCACTATATGTAAAGCAGCATGTTACTGCTCAATCGCATGTCAAGTAAGTTTTTTTTCTTTTCAATTCTAAAACTTCATTTTTTATCCTAACAATTCATCAATATTTCAATTTTCTTCAAGTGTTCCTGAAAATTCTTTGCATGGCTAATAGTAATTGATCCTTTTTTACCGCCGATTTACATGAAAACAATATTGATCTTAAACAAATGTTAAATAATTATTTATTCATTTTAGAAAAAACATTGGGCTTCTGGACATGCAGAGATTTGTGTAAAATTGACAAGAACTAGTCACAAAAATGACAAGAAAAATTGTTTTTAAGTTTGTTAAAAAATGCGAATTGGTATTTATGAAATGGTATTTGGAGTTTTTTTATATATATTAAAGATTTATTAAATGAAATTTCAAAATTTGATTATATGTTAAAGTTTAAACAAATATGAAATATGTTTATGAAATGAAATAATTTATATTCATTTATTATTTAAATAATATGTAATCACACACACATATATATGAATAGGTATATATATATATATATTAAATTATTACAATTTATAATATGTATATTCAGTTTAAATACATATTAAATTTGTATGATTTACATATTATATACACATTGCATCTATATCTATATAAAAACATAAAATAATTTATATATATATATATATATCATATATATATATATATTGATGGTAGAGTCTTATATTTTGTATTTCGAACAAGAATATAATAAAATAAAAAATTAATAACAATTTCATTTAATTATTTGTTATGTACGTTAATAGGTAGTTATCTTAGGACATTTCAAGAACATGATTTGATATATTTAAGCAATATGTTAATAAAATATTTTTCTATATATTATTATATATATTACATATATATATATGATATGAATGATATATGATATTATCATGGATATTATGATAGAAATTTTTTGAAATTTATGGAAAATTTTTTGAATAATGATAATTGAAATAATACTGTATTTTGAATATCCGTTACACTTTTTCCTAAACAAGAATTTTTGACAAATTGAATTAAATCTATTTGCGTATATATATATATATATTTATATATATATATATATATATATATATATAACGATTATGATTTTATTCTTCTGACCTAAGAGCTTACGTTTTTCTTCAAAAAAACTTTATTCTTCAGAAACTGTTGAAACAAACAAAATTATTATTAATAAATTAAATTTCCACATTTACGTTAATTTTTATGTAAATAAAAGTGGTAAAAATTATTTTCCTTTCTTCCTTAAAAATTGATAAAATTTAATCTTTCAAAGACGAAAGTGATTTCTTTTACCATTGATTAAATTGTTATTCTTCGGAGGCAAAACCGATTTCTTTTACCTTTGATTATAATTTCAGTATTTCAAAGGGTACAAATTAATTCTTATCTTTGATTGGCATTCAAATATTTCAAATTTTAATTTTTCAAAGGTAAAAAATAAATTCTTTTAACTTTGATTAGAGTTTTGATCTGCCAAAGGTAAAAAGTGAATTTATTTTAACCTTATTAAAATTTAAATCTTCTAAAGATAAAAAATGTTTTTTAGCCCTGATTAGAATTTTAATATTTTAGTGGTAAAAAATTAATGATTTTACCTTTGATTATAATTTTAATTTTTCAATGGTATAAAGAAATTTTTTTACCCTTTTTTAAGGGTAGATAAAAAATGAATTTTTCCACTTTGCTTAGAATGTTAATTTTTTACCGGATTTTACCTTGACTAGATTTTTGAATTGATATTAAATTTTTCAAGTGTTTTTTTTTTTTAATTTTTAATGAATTAAAAAAATGTATATATATATATATATAAGAAAATAATCATAAGAGAATATTTAAATAAATTTAAGGCCTTTAATTCAGAAAAATAACGGATGCTTCTTTAGTCAAGAAAAATAAAATCATAATTAATATTACTTATACAGAAAAATTATTATCTATCTATATTTTTAATATGTTTTTATATAGAACTATGTATTATTATAATGTTTTTTTTATAGAACTATGTATTTAGCTTTAATTGGACAGTATTCATTTTAATTAACGATACTCAATATGAAATTGGAAGACTGACTTTCTGATGTACTTAATTTTGTTCTAATGTTTTTGTTAATAAAAATAATAAAATAATACATGTTTTATTAAACTATAAAGTAAAATTTATTTGATTTATTATTTCTTTTTCCACTTTTAGCAGCAGAACAGAAACTTATCATTTTGTTTTTTTAAACTGAAGTATTTTATTGGCCTTTGGGTGTATTTACCAATTATTGTAAAATGGGGTTTTATATTACTCAAAACATTTCCTTAGGAGCCTGAATCACTGCTATCTGCATTTCTAACATTTTTATTTTTGGATGGTAGATGGTAGATTTTCGAGCATGTACAAGGCCTTACAGATTTTATCATAAGCTCCAACAATTGTCAGCCATCATGTGGATGTCCCATCTTCCTATATATCGCTCCCCCAAAGTTCTGATGTCTTGGTGGATACTCCTGTCCTGCTTTTCGCTAATATTTTACATTTAATTTAACATTTTCCAAAAACGTTCTGAATAAGAGTGCGGGTGATGAATTCAAATCAATTACATCAAATATATCAGTTTTTAATTTTCTTTTTTAATATTGTTTTCTGCATCTATTACTTGGTAAGCATGAGATGTTGATGTTCTAGATTGTTGATCATTAGCATGGATAGGGGTTGTGTAACGATCATAAGTAGACCTTATTCTATTGAGATTGTGGTTTTTACTTCTATTGCCTGAATTTATTTCATTGATATTTACCACACAGAAGAAACAATCGTTGTGGTGATTCTGAGGTTTTTTCTTAATGACGGAGGTTTTAAGTTAAATCATTTCTTTTTCTTCTAGATAACTACAAATTTTTTTCACATAGTATGATGAACAAAGTTTGAGTTCTAATAAACTATTTTTAAGACTATATTTTTTTATTAATAATACATTATTTTTAAAGCACAAATATTTTTATTTGAAATTTTGGCGCTTTAATTTGAATGGCGAGTGATATATTGAAGCGCCATTGCAATGTAGCGTCCGTAGCAATAATTAATTCTTTGAACCAAAATAGGACCGATCTGTCAGTTAAAATTAACCTATTCAAGTTATATTAATATAAACAACAGAAAATTAATTAGACATAAGAAATATATTTAAAATATATGAATTTGTGATATTTAATTTTATATAACGTTTTATCATATAACAAAATAATATATAATATAATCGGTATGTTATCTTTTGCAATAAAATTGCATACGTCACATATTATTATCTTTTCTAAGCTTGCATTTCATGCTTATCAAAACTGTTTTTAAATAATGCTGTGTAATTACTTTAGGTTTCATTAAAAAACAATATGTTGAAAGGAGTTATATTAATAGGTGGTCCTCAAAAAGGTATGAACTATTATCATAAATATTTATAAAATTTTTAAATTTTGAATATCAACTACTATACATATAGTTTTTATTATATTCTTATTTGACACTCATGTTAATTGCATATATGTAGTATAACTTTGTTTCAATTATTAATTAGAATAGGATTTAACAAACAATAGTGTAATAGTTGTAGAAGTGTATTCTTGTAAACACATTTTGAAACTTTATCTAGTTTTTTTTTCCACTGAATGATAGTGTCGATGCAGACATTACCTTAGCATATTTCTTGATTATTTATTATTATTGATTTATTTTTCTAGGAACAAGGTTTAGACCCTTGTCTCTCGATGTTCCTAAACCACTCTTTCCAGTTGCCGGCTTACCAATAATACAACATCATGTTGAAGCTTGCGTTTGCATTCCTAATTTAGAAGAAATTTAAATAATAGGATTCTATCCAGCCTCACAAATCAGCGAGTTTATATCAGACATGCAACATGAATATCAAATAAAAATAAGGTATATCTAGTTTTTTCAGAATAACAAGTAGTTACATAAGTCAGATAATAGTCCAGTAAAACTATTTAATTTTATTTTACAGGTATCTACAAGAATTTACTGCTTTAGGAACTGCTGGTGGAATGTATCATTTCGAGATTTTATTCGGGGAGGATCTCCAGAAGCTTTCTTTATTTTAAATGGTGATGTTTGTGCTGATTTTCCATTACAGAAATTACTTGAATTTCATAAGAAACAAAATAATGCATTAGCAACAATTATGGGAACTGAAGCTACCAAAGAGCAAGCAATTAATTACGGCTGTCTTGTAATGGATAAAGTAAGTAATGATACTTTGATAATTATATTATATTATATATGTATATATATATATATATATATATATATATATATATATATATATACGAGGTGTGTTCAAAAAGTACCCGGAATTACTAATAATTAAATTTCGCGGGTCTGGAGTGTCTGATTGTCAAAATTTTTTTTTATTGTGTTGGTATACATGCCCCTAAAGTATGATGAAATTTTCAGCTATATTCACTGTTTACTTTGTCTGTGGTAGTCGCTAAGGTTCGACGTGTTTTTCTGAGCTCGGCGATTTTTACAATGGAAGAATTGAAAAGTCAAAGAATTTGTATTAAATTTTGCGTAAAAAATGAAATAAAGTGTTGCAAAGTGCAAAAATTCACCAGATATGGCTCCGTGTGACTTTTTCCTATTCCCAAAGTTGAAGGGACCCATGAAAGGACGGCGGTTTTCCTCGATTGAAGAAAATCGCTGAGAGTGCTCAAGGACATATCAAAAAGTGAATATCAAGGGTGCTTCGAAAATTGGAAAAAACGCTGGCATAAGTGTATTATATCTGGGGGGGACTACTTTGAAGGGGACCACATTAATGTAGACGAATAAATAAATATTTTTTTGAAAAAACGAAAATTCCGGGTACTTTTTGAACAGACCTCGTATATATATATATATATATTGAATGGTAGAGTCTTGGATTTGTGTATATTTGTAGAGTTTCGAACAAGAATCCAAAAATAATACAAAATAAAAAACAAGAAAAGTTTTTAAAAAAAACAATTTCTTTATTTAATTATTTGTTTATTGTCGACGTTTCGGAACTAGGTACGTTCCATCTTCAGGACATCTGTCAAGAAACATGATCTTGATGAGATTTTAGCAAACAATATGTTTAGGAAAAGAAAATAGATTTTTCTTAAATAATGAATTAAATTGTAAAAAATATAATAATGTACAGAAATATGATAATATGTTCAAAATAAAATGATAAAAATAAATGAGTGGATTATCAGAACAGGATATTAAAACATAATAGAAAATTTTTTTGAAAGTTATGGAAATTTTTTAAGAAAAGGTTAATGACAAAGTTGAATTAATTACCTGTATGTTTGAATATTTGTTAGCACTTTTTCACTAAACAAGCTTTTTTAACAAAAATGATTTTGTGAGTTAATTTTCCGCCGAATAATTAGATTTTGTAAATTTTTTTAGTAATTTTGATTTTGTAAATCAAAATTACTAAAAAAATTTACAAAATCTAATTATTCGGCGGAAAATTAACTCACAAAATCATTTTTGTTAAAAAAGCTTGTTTAGTGAAAAAGTGCTAACAAATATTCAAACATACAGGTAATTAATTCAACTTTGTCATTAACCTTTTCTTAAAAAATTTCCATAACTTTCAAAAAAATTTTCTATTATGTTTTAATATCCTGTTCTGATAATCCACTCATTTATTTTTATCATTTTTATTTTGAACATATTATCATATTTCTGTACATTATTATATTTTTTACAATTTAATTCATTATTTAAGAAAAATCTATTTTCTTTTCCTAAACATATTGTTTGCTAAAATCTCATCAAGATCATGTTTCTTGACAGATGTCCTGAAGATGGAACGTACCTAGTTCCGAAACGTCGACAATAAACAAATAATTAAATAAAGAAATTGTTTTTTTTAAAAACTTTTCTTGTTTTTTATTTTGTATTATTTTTGGATTCTTGTTCGAAACTCTACAAAATATATATATATATATATATATATATATATATATATATATATATATATTGATTGTTTCTTTTCCGAACAGTAAATCCAATAATAAAAAACAATTTGTTTTTTGAAGATGTTTAATACGACGTTTCGGAACTAGGTACGTTCCATCATCAGGTTTATTCTGTCAAATACAATGTTTTTTTAAAAATATTGACTAACATTAATTAACGATGGTCAATACAGATTAATTAGAAAAAATTTTTATAAAGGAATGGATTATGTACCGGGGTAAAGAGTAATAAGAATTAACTAAAAAAGGTTTTATATAAAATTGAGAAGCAAAAATTATTTACCTGTAATAATTTATATATCCATATCACTAATATTTTTTTGTTAAAAACATTCGATTTTTTTGGAAGATATTTGTAGATGTTACGACTACACAAGACTTAAACACACTGATATGGATTTCTGTCTGCCAGATGTAAAGGACAACGCACGGAATTCTTGGCAAAAATGATTTTTTATGGCTCTTGTTTGGTAATTTACGAAAAAAGTGGAAATGTTGCTTTAGTAAATGTTGAGAAATATTATGTATATATATACGTATACATGCACATGTATATGCACACCTACATACTCATACATACATATGCACATATCCAGTGGCGTCGGAACCGTGTGGGCTGTGTGGGCTTGAGCCCACCCATGAATTTCAAAAAATTATATGGGATAATATCTCTAAAAAAAAAAAAAAACGAGACCACTGGCTGTCTATCTAAAAAAAAAAAAAAACGACCCCACCCATCAAAAATTTCGTTCCGACGCCACTGCACATATCTATATATTAATGTATCCACAATTATATACATGAACATATATGCAAGTGCATGTATATAGTGTACACACAAAAACATACACATAAGCACATATATGGATGTACATATATTATAACATATATACATGTATATACATATTCAAAAATCATTAGGATTAATTGTTTTTAATCAGGTTTAAAAAATTTAGATATGAGTCATGAATGATATTGTGATCTGATCTTTTATTAACACTATTTGACGAATTCAAAAAGATTAAACTGCTTTCAGAAAAAAGTCTTTTAAAAGTACAATCCTCTCTATATAAAATACGTATTGGGTTCAAAGGTGAAATTATGTGAGTTTTCGATCGAATGCTGGACAAGTTTTTTTTTCTAATTAATTATTCATTCATTTGTTTGCTAAATTACATATAAAAAACATTTTTTAAATTTTTGAAAAATTTTCCATGCTATTTCCATACAAAACTTTGATGGAATTGCGCTCTATCTAAACTATAATATTAAGAGCTAAAACTTTCAGAGAATTGTTTTTTATCTATTTGGAACCATTTGAGCAACAAAATTTTTAGTGGCAACACTAGAAATAAAAATTTGCAACTAATTTTATTCATATGTAATAAAATAGAAGAAATTTCATATGTCACTATTCATCTAAGTTTGAATGAACATAAAAGTATCTACATACGCAAAAATATACGTGATTTTATCAACTTATAGATCATCCAAACAAAATTTGCAATCCTGGAACAAAATTTTTAGTTTACTTTAGAAATGAAAATTTGCAACTAATTTATTCATATGTAAGAGAATTATAACAATTTGAAATGCAAATATTCATGTAAGCTTGTATGAAGGCAAATGTATCTAAATATGTAAGAATGTTGATAATTTTATCTACTTTCAAACCATTTCAATAAAATATAGAAGTCTGGAACAAAATTTTTATTTACAACTTCAGAAAGAAAAATTTGCAACTATCTTTTTTTTTTCAATGCATCAGAATATTGTCACAAATTTCACTGATTTTACACTTAGATTTTCGTTTCCTTCAGTAGCCGATATCAGTTCCATCTATTTCACCAATCCATCCTGTCGGCAAGTTGCTGTTTTAGTATTTTCGTCCTCCTTGTTAAATGCAATTTGTATTCATAGAACGAACGACGAAGCGTGAAACTTTTCTCAGAAACTTTTGTGAAAAATATGAAAAATTGCAAATAAAACTATATGGATTGTTTGCGGATTTTAAATGGGTATATTTAACTAGGAGATCTGTAAAATGATTTATTTAAAATTGTTTTTTTACTGTCAGTTAAATTGGTTAATTTAGTTTGCTCGTCAGTAGAGTTTTTTTTAAGTCTATTTCTAATAAAACATTTTTCAAAATCATCTATTAATCATTTTGGAAATATGCTAAATTGTCATTTCAGAAATTTGCTAAAAATGAATTTTTATTCAATACTTAAACTAAATTTTTGGTTAAATTAAATGATAGGACAGCAACTTGCCTCAAGGCAAATCCCGAACCCTATTTTGCAAGTGACATATCATTGAAAAGGGCTCGAAGCAAGGAATACGAATTTAGTATTTGTTTTTACTTATACTAAAATAGTTAGAAATTGATACTATTTGATACTAATCAAAATCAATGCTAACTATTTTTTTAGGAAAATGTACATCCTAAAAATTCATTAGATAAAACAAAGACAAATAGTATCTTAAAATTTAAATTAAAACCCAAATAAATTTGATTAACTAGTTTGTAATAAGGGTTAACTATATGAAATTCAGAAATTGTATTGTTTTCTCACTCACTCACTTGTTAGTGACGCATCTTTTATCTCTTTCTCGCTCACAATAATGTTATTACTTAAAATATTAATGTGCAACTTGCCTCAAGGCAAATTTCGAACACTATTTTGCATGTGACATATCGTTGAAAAGGGCTCGACGAGAGAAATACGAATTTACTACTCATTTTTATTTATATCTTACAATAAAAAATTTAAAATAAAAAAATTGTCATATAATACTGTTTTTATAGCAATACTCTTATTATTATCATTATTATTTTTATTTCACCTGTCAATTTCAAAACCTGTCTCTATATATATTTATTTATATAATTTCCGTACCAATTTAAAACGAATTAATCGAAATTAGATTTATTACCAGAAGCGTACAAAGTGGTTAATACCGTTGCACTGAATTTTTTCTATGCAATCGCGATGCACCCCATGTCGCGGAATCGTTCGCTAATACGCGACTCAGTACATAAATCAATCGCTTTGAAAGCCATCGAGGGGATTTAAGGGATGATATTCGATGGAATAAATTATTTTTGTATTAAGAGTGGATGAAGGTATTGGAATATACATGGTGTATGGCTTAAGGGCACGGATTTAGTGTATCACAGTTTAATGAACTATTTTTTGTAAGCTTATAATATTTTAGGATTCTTGTTCAGACAAACTGTACAAAGTTTACTTGCAAAAATTTATATTTTTCAAAAATTAATCAGCCCAATTCACAAATGAAATCTTTCAAATTGTTTTTGAATTTTTAAAATTGGTTCAGGATTTTTGCCAAATTTTGCAAAATCTTGCACTATTTTGGCAATAATAAATAAACGGCTTGACCTATAGTAGCCAAAAATCAATAAATTTGAGTCCTAATAAAATTTCATCGAATGTCTTTTAAATTTTTAAAATCGGTTAAGCAGTTTTAAAGAAAAACGTCGATGAACTATCAATTTTGACTTATATTTCTCAATTTGACTTTGGTGCCATAAAATTCAGAATGACTTGGAATGTTAAAAAAAACGTGAAATTAGCAAATCAAATTATGTGGTGATGATTAAAATGAATAATAAACTTAAATTTAATAATAATATTATATGCTAGTAGTACCGAAAGTTTCGATATTGTTTTGCACCCTTTGCATTAGTATTAATAATAATGAGGTTTCTTTTTTAGAGTCCATGTCTCCGATCCGTACAGAGTATTTTAAAAATATGCTCCTCAAATTCAAATTCATTTTACTCGTCAGTAGTTTTTTTAGGGACAGTCCATATTTCTGATCCGTAGAGAGTATTTAATTTTTTATGACAAAAGTTAATTTTGCTTGTCAGTAGAGTTCCTTTTTCAATTTTAATCTTTTAGTAAAATCATTAACGAAAATGTGCTTAATATTGAATAGATATACATTTGTTTAGATATACATCTGTTAGTAAAGTACTTTATTTTATTTCTATTCTATAATCTGTGTCTTTGTCAGTAGAGTTCTTTTTTTCAATTTTAATTTTAATTCATATGCTCGACAGTAAATTTTTTTAATCTAAATTTCTAGATTTAGTTTGCTCGTCAATAGAATTCTCTTCTAATATTAATATCTAAAGCCATTTTGCTTGACGGTAGAGTTTTTTTAATTTTAATTTTCACAGGAACGTGATGTTGCTCGTCAGTAGAGTTCTTTCGTTATTTTAAGTCCATTAGTAAAACTTGAAAATGTGCTCTAATCGGATCAGAGACCTGAACTCTAAGGAAGGAAACACTTAATTTTTTTTATGAAGTAAATTAAATTAGTTTGTCAGTTTTATTTTTAATCTAAAATCGGTGATTACTCGTCAGTAGAGTTGTTTTTTCGTAAAACGAAGACATTAACTAAACGATGCATTTTTATACAAATATAATTTGCTCGTCAGTAGAGTTCTTTCTTGTTTTAATTATGAATTCAATTTGCTCGTCGGTAGAGTCCTTTTTTTTATTCAAGTCTTGATTCAGTTTGTTTGTTCAATTTCGTTTTTACATCAGATCCTGAGTTTAATTTGCTCGTTAGTAGAGTTCTTTTTTTTTATAAAACAATGTAAAATATAATATTTTAGCTGTTCGTTTATACAGTTATTTTTTCAGGACAAAATTTTGTTCCAGACTTCTAAATTTTATTCAAATCATATGAAAGTAGATAAAATTATCTACATTCCTATGTATTTTAGGGTTTTCAAAGAATTAATAACGACTTCTGCAAATTTTCTTTAAATAAAAATATATTTTTGTATTAATTTTATAAAGTTCTAATAAATTTTTTTTTATCTAAATGTGAAGTAATGTAGATTATTTTATTCATTTTTAGATTTTTTAAACAAAATTCGCAAGTTTTAAACAAAATTTTTAGTGACAACCCTAGATATGACAATTTGCAACTATTTTTCTAAATAATACAGATATGACTTATTTTAGATGCAAATATTTGGATAACTTTGTATGAACAGAAATTTATTTATTTATTTATTTATTTATTTATCATATAGCCCACAGAGTAGCTCCAGGAGGACTTAAAAATACAATTTTAATATACATATTATAAAAATACAAATATACTAATATATGATATAACAACACATAACACATAACATAATATAATTAACAATACATAACACAAAATAAAAAAACTGTCAAATTCTTAACGGTAAAACTAAATTATATATGATGGAAAAACATATTCGTGACAAAATATCAAGATTAACTTGTACAGATGGTAATTAATTGTTTTACTGAAGTATTGTGAATATCGATATCTTTATTAATTGAGTTGAAATTAGAGGACATTAGCACTATAGGTGAATTTAATAGAGCATTAGTCTTAGGAGTAGGATATTTGAAAAACATTTGAGTTCGGGATGAGAGTCTAGGAACGTTAAAGGATAGTTGGTCTAGAATTTGAGGACAATCTATGGCATTATTACATAGTTTATATAGGAACAAAATACTATCAGTGAAACGACGTGTAACAAGAGATGATACGCAGAATGTATTAAGTAAAATATTGTGGTCGAAACCACGTTCAGGATAAATTTTGTGCGTTTTTAAGTATAGATATTTTAGAAATTTTCTTTGAACCTTCTCTATCGCATCTGAATTATTGCTATGGTTAGGATACCAAATGATCGATCCATACTCCAGCTTTGAACGTACAATTGCATAGTATATGCTAATTAGTGACAGATTAGATTCAAATTTTTTGCAGTTTCTTAATATTAATCCTAATGATTTTTGCGCCTTGCTACATATATTAGATATGTGATCTGTAAAAGTCAAACTAGAATCAAATACAATGCCTAAGTCAGATATTTTATCACACCTTTCTATGCAGGTGTCAGAAATTTTATAATTAAAATGCGTCGGAACGCGCTTGTTTGTAAAACTAATAATTTTGCATTTGGATATATTCAGATCCAGTTTATTTTGAACACACCAGGAGTGAAATGAATTTAGTTGAGACTGCATCACTAGGCAGTCATCTATTGAGTTTATTTTAAGATATAGCTTGAGGTCATCTGCAAACAATAGGTGAGGACAATTAATTACTTCCGATATATCGTTGATAAAAATATTAAATAAAAGAGGACCAAGGGTGGACCCCTGGGGCACACCCGAGCTGACAGTTTCCAAGTTACTCAAAAATCCATTAAGAAAAACGAATTGTTTACGATTATGAAGATAGCTTTTAAAGAAATAAGTAAGTGAAGTATTAAAACCAATTTTAGATAATTTAGTAAGAAGTATATCGTGATCTATTTTGTCAAAAGCTTTACTAAAATCAGTGTAAATTACATCAACTTGTCCGTTAATGTCAAGATTCTCAGCAAGAAATTGTTTAATGCATATAAGATTAGTAGTTGTCGAACGAGCAGGCATAAAACCATGCTGATTATTAGAAATTAAATATTTTATTGATGGAATTAGTTTATTAAATACAATTTTTTCAAAAACTTTAGCAAAATTAGATAATAAAGATATGGGTCTATAATTAGTAATATTAGATGAGTCGCCATGTTTGAAAATTGGTACTATACGCGCGATCTTCCAACAGTTCGGAAAAGTGTTTGAACTCAACGACAGATTAAATAAAAATGCAAGTGGATCACAAAGAACAGTTGAACAATCACGTACAAGAAATGATGGAATACCGTCAAATCCAAATGTTTTAGAATTTTTCAAACTTGCCATTGCAACTTGCACACAACTAGAATCAATCTTCTCAATATCAACCATTACTCTATTGTTATAATCAAACGAAATAGGCATATCTAGCTTGGGTTGATTAACACTAGAAAAGTATGAATTAAATGCATCTACTATAGCATCAGGTGAATCATAATATTTGTCCAAGTAGCATACTCTATTAGGAACTATGTTAGAGGTAGTCTTACTGCGTAAGAATGACCAGAAGTATTTTGGATTATGCGATAGAGAACGTTCAACATCTGTTATATATAAGTTATAAGCGTCTTTCATGAGTGATTTTGTTAATTTCCTATATAATTTAAAATTTTCGTAATATAAAGTGTTATTAGTTAATTTATATTTTTTGTGATAGTATTTTTTCATACGCAAGTTTTTAATAATGTTGGAATTAAACCAAGGTTTAAATTTATTGGATGGAGAGTTCTTGGTTTTAGGTACAAATCTATCGAATATACTATAAATAGTGTCATAAAAAAGATCGCACGCATCATTTACGTCGGAACAGGTATACAGAGAACTCCACGATGTGTTTAAAATTTCCATGTAAAGATTAGGAAAATCCGCTTTATAAAAATTGTAATGAGAGGTATTATTATTAAGTTGTAATGCATTGGCCTTAGGTAAAAAGGATGTTGTAAGGGAAAGAGAAATATGAAGAGCGGGATGATAATTATCTTCAGGTAACAGAGGTTCGGTATCATGGTGTGGGAGTCGTAATGATTATGACAATATATTAAATTAGAAACTCCCAACAATAAAAAAATATAAATTTATTAACTATAAAAATATTTCGATATCAAAAATATACATCACATGTCCCATTGTTTTTTACAAATCAAAAACCAGCCTGCTTGATATCGCCACACACTCCCTGCCCAGTGTTGATCTCACAGTTTAAAAAAAAAATACAGGGAAACACGTTATAAAAATGTGGTGGGAAAGCAGATTATAGCAGACCAGTGTTGTAATACTGGTCAATTACAAATTTCCATGTTTCGTCAGCAGATCCACCGTATGTGGTGATTCGACCTGCCATCAACTCCATATTTTGCATAAGGTTCTGACTAAAAAAAAACTTGTGGAAAATTTCCTATACCTCGATGTCGGTGAACTTCTAAGATTCAGCCTCGATCAAATTGGTACCCAGACAGCACAAGACATGCCAGGGAATGTCCCACTTGTCCTCACAATCTCCTAATATCGCGATATCCTATGAATATCCTATGCATATGCAACGGGACGTCTCAAAACCAAAGGACTCGAGCAGGTATAACGAACGGTTTACGAACATGTCGCTTTCATACGCGCACGGCTCGAGACCTCTAAACGTATATGTTTGTCCCTTTCTCTTTCGTCGCGTCGGCTGTAGGCTGTAGGCATGGAGCGTCCTTTAAGGTTTAAGCGTTATCAATAGACGCCATATGTCGAATGTGTCGAATTATCATAGTTTTTGAGTAATTGAGTAATAATAGTGAAAATTTTATTTGTTTTATATAATTATATGAGCGTGTGTTATAAATAATTAATATTATTTATCAAAATACTCTAAAATTGAGTAATAATAGTGGAAATTTTATGTGTTCTATATAATTATATGTGCGTGTGTGTTATAAATATTGCAGCAACATATTGAAAGGGGGGCAGATATAAACGATGGTAATTAAAGCTTTCTGTGTACTGTTATTTGAAATACTATGTTACTAGTACAAATAGAATTTTTAATTTAATGCTGACATTTCTACCCTGCCAGCTTATCCAGCAGCCATGCCTAATTTTGTATCAAATGCTGTGTTTGAAAGAGAATTAACAAAGAAGAAATGCTCTCCACTACGTTTGTTGGAGGAGCTTCAACTTGAGGCTATTCTTCTGAGCAAAGATATCAAAATACAATTGGTAATCAAAAGTTTATATAGATTTATTTTTATTTGTTAACTTTATCATATACTAAACAAACTTTCTCTTTATATTCTGTATTTAGCCATCAGAGTCCAGCTATGAAAATCCATTTTTGATGATGGTTTGGACAAAGTTGCTAGGGACGAGGAAAGGGCAAAAATAAATTTTGTGATCTAGTGCCTTGCGATGTCATCACAGGTAATTTATATATCTTATACTTATGATGTGTTGTAAATTATGAATTAAACTAATATATAATTAATTCCAGGAATTGCTTTGAAAAATTTGCCGCATGAGACATAGTTTACTGTTTCAGAGGCTGCAAAAAGCTGGCTGCGATGTGCCAATAAATATTATACAAGGTATTTTTGTGAGATGTGTACTATATGTTTTTCCTATTTACAAAAAAATCATGATTATTGACTGGTTAGTTGTATCAATGTTAGTGCAAAATTTGTGCTGTGTACACATTTTTAGATGTAAAAAACCAAGTTTAATATTCACCCGTAATGACATCAAATTGTGTCGATATATTTGGAATTAGAGATTATTTTATAAATCTCTGTCTATTTTGATTGATGTATCGCTCTTAAAGAACTTACTCATATATATATATATATATATACATATATATGCATTTATTCATTTGTTTTCTATTTCAGGAGAGAAAATCAACCATGAACTAGGATTGAATGCCGAATTAATTATATTTTTAATATTGTAAAATAAGTTATTTTGAATTAAAGTTGTATATATTAAATTTTGTCATAAAATTATCTCAGGATTTTGTTATTTTGTAATAAAAGTTTACTTTGTGAAATTGTGTTCTTTTATTTTATTTTTAATCCAAATTTATTTTTCATCTAAAAAGTAAAAAACAATTCCATAATAATATCCTATTCATGTCCGGTTTATGTCCGGAATATCCCGCGCGGGATATCCTACAGAACGTCCCATAGGTGCGACATATTAACATGTTTCGGATAAGATCAGGATAAGCGGGATATCCGTAAGGCTATCGCAGGGACAATGAATGTCCGCGCGTGGATATCCTGTGGACATTCTCCGGGATGTCTTGTGTTGTCTGGGTATTAGTTATATCAGAATTATTTAATGTTTAGAATGCATAATTTATGGGTACAGTTTCCATTTCTGCAAGCGTTGCATTCGTATCTGATGAGTTCCGATCAGAGAAAGAAGTTGTCTCTTTATCCAAATCAGGATCATTGGTTTCTTTGACATAAGAGTCCAGAATTGTGGAATCCAATAAATTATGTCAAATTTTGTTTTGACTCGTCGTTGTCACCGATAATGGAAGGTAGCATTATAAGACGATTTGTTGAGTTAACAGAGAAAGAGAGGTTAAATTGCATTCCAATGAAAAGTTCAGGCTCCAAATTATTTATTCTGTCAGCAATAGACACTGAGGTCTGGGTATACCAAATGAGTAACCTCGGAAGTCTGATCCAGATAGTAAGTGCGTTAACTATGATGGATTGGACTGGACGTACCTTATAGGTCGTCTCTGAAGACCAGTGACTATGGTGCTGCGTCAAATTCTTAAATCCTCGAAAAAAAAAACTCCTTTATCTTCATCTCCATCGTCGTGAGTCACCAATGTGGGAGTTGTAATTAATATTAAAGTATAAACTCCCGACATATAAAAAAATATAACAAATTTATTGACTATAAAAATATTTCGATATCAAAAATATACATGACATGTCCCATTGTTTTTTTTCAAATCAAAACCAACCTGCTTGATATCCCCACAGTACGATAGTACAATCATATATAGATTTGTTCCTGAAATAAAATAGTGGCTTCTTCAGTCATATATCGATTTGTCCCTGAAATAAAATAATAGCTTCTACAAAAATATGACTTGTCCTGAAACAAGTTGCTTAAATGTTGAGATATGTTTCGACAATAAGAATAGAGATTTAGTAAATATCAAATCAATATTCCACACTTAATTTTTTTTTATTTATATAGGCCACTTTTTGTGTGCCTATACTAATTTGGGATTTTTCTTGAGTTCAGGACTGTTCTTATTTAGATCAGGCGTATTTTATCGCAAAACTAAAGTGACTGAACTATGTAAACTTTTTTGAGTAAACGACGACAAACGAACGTCAAGATTTGGGTCAAGAGTTCTTTTTGCAATCAAGTTTTATAGACTGACTTATTATATTTTATTCTGCAAGATTTTGAAGCTGAAACAGATTTTTCAAAATAGTGGCATTTCTAATCGTAGTGGTATTGAGGTTAATACAAATATGGACCCTGACCGCTTTCCAAACTTTCTTGTTTTTGTTTAAGAAATTGGAAAATATACACATATTCCAACATTTGTAACTGTTATGGAAAGAATATGTAGAAAAAGCTAAAAATACTAAGAAGTATGTCGCAACATCGAAATATGCATTTTAGGCTTTTTAGGTTTCTGCCAACATCTGATAATGAACTTTAAGATGTTCTACTGGTATTGTCAAATTTAGATCAAAACCTTCTCAGTTGAGTTAAATGCAACTGCAAAGCACGTAAACTGTTCTGATTTATAGAAGGTAAAAATATCAGTAAAATATCTTATAGTTCATCCTCATAAATGCTCAGAATTCTCAAAAGCCAAAAATGTATATCTTGTTGCAACATATTTTTATATGTATTTTTTAATTCTTTTTACATATTCTATAATAATTTCAACTGTTGAAATATGTACATATTTCCCAATTCTTAACAAAAATCGTTAAATTAAGTTAAAAAGTTCCTAATTAGGTTCTATTGCCATATATTTTACTGAAAAGATATTTGAGTTCAATGCGTCTTTTATCAAGTTACTTGACCAATAATTTTAAATCTATTTTTTATTTCATTATCCAGCCTATAATACTAATATTTTTATCAGGCGCTATATCTAGACTTCATTGTCTTCGTTTTTACAGGTTTTAAGTTATTTCTGGGATGAATGGAATTTCATTTCTTCCAGGAATGCTTTAATAAAATATAATTAGAACGCGAACGGAACCATCATCGATCACGCCTGATATCGTTAATGATTTTCGATCCCGTTCGTCGTCTCATTTGAAGCGACGGAAAGCTCCACCGCGTGGTAGAAAGAGAGCTTATAGAGCTTTTTGAATGTGA